GCTCCAATCCTTGACAACACTTTCCATGAAGAAATTTTCCCTGATATCCAATCTAAACCTCCCCTAGGCAACTTGAGGCTGTTTCCTCATCCTTGGGAGAAGACACCGACCCTCACCTGGCTGCACCTCCTGACAGGGAGTTGTAAAGGGCAGAAGGTTCCCCTGAGCCTCCTTTTCTCCAGGCTGAGCCTCCCCCCCCAGCTCCTTCCCCAGTGGAAAAGGTGTTAAAAAATTCTCACCTTGGGCTTGTTGTTATTCCATAGATCTGTAAGGTGGAGGAGTTAAAAATCCTTCAGCAGCCACGTGGAGTCATGGAAATAACCCTCAAGGGCAGCACCAGGGAGGGATTTGCCTGCAGCTTGTCACAGAGCACCCAACCCACTATTATTCTTCACAGAATACCAAACCTGCTCCTTTCAGTCCTTAAAAAGGCAAATAGAAAAGCTTTTTTTTTTATTGCTCCTTTCTCCTGGAGTTTTATCAGTGCTGTATTTTTTTCTTTTTGCAGGGGAAAAGGATTTGTGTGTGTTCTGCCATCACATGCTGAAGATTTTGTCAGGTTTTAAATAAAGGAACAAAACCACCTGTCAATTTTTCCAGCTTTGAGTTCAGCTCGAGGAGGGACCAACATCACTGAGCTCAGTTTTCCTGGGAACAAGGAAAATTGCTGCCTGCTCTGACCTACTTGCTAAACAATCAGTGTGAAAAGGCAAAGATAACAAAAAAAAAATCATCCTCAGCCTGAGGAAAATGTACAGCATTGGGTTCACAGGTTCTCCCTCAGCTTTTTGTAAGGAGAAAATTGTGGGAGGAGATGAAGGTTTTGTTGCTGGATCCTCCTGTGGCAGCTGAATGGAAATGTGCAGGTGTTGCTGCTTCCTCAGATCCAACCCTTTGGGGACTGTGCTGGTAATTATCATCCCCTGGGATGTCACTCTCTCATCTTCCACTTCTGCCACTAGGGAGGTGAAAAAACACCTTCTGGGGAGGGACATGGGGCACCTCAGCAGGTAATTCCTGCCCTGAAAACACCTTTTCCCTATAAATAGCTCACAAATCATGAAGGAAGCTGCAGCCCACAGAGACCCCACCCAGGAGAAGGTTCCTGCCAGGGGATGAGCCCAGATTAGAACAGGTTTTCTCTAAGGACCTGTGAGCTTTCTGTTCCTGAAGGACTCCAAACTTTACCCCATGGAAAGGCCTCGTGATGGAGCTGTTCCTGGAATGCTGAGCCCATGGGAAGGGCTGAGGTTGGAGCAGCTTGTGGAGGTCTATGTCCCACTGGAGGGACTGCAGGGTGTGAGGAGGAAGGACCAGCAGATATGAAGCATTCTGAACCAATTACAAACCTCTGTCCACATCTCCTTGAGCTACTTGGAGGCAGGAGGTAGATTGGAGACTCAGAGGAGAGAGTAGAAAAGGATTTTTCCCTGTTAGGGTGTTCAGGCGCTGGAATATTGCCCAGGGAGGTGGTGGAGTCACCATCCCTGGAAGTGTTTAAGAGGTGTCTGGACCTGGTGCTGGAGAACATTGTTTAGGGTTTGGGGGTTCCAGCAGTGACAGGTTAAGAGTTGGATTTGATGATCAGAGACATCTCCTCCAACCTTGCTGATTCATCATTGAGCACTGATCATTGAGCATTGGATCAATAGGATTGATCATTGAGCAGACTGGGCTAGTGGAAGTTGTCCCTGCCCATGACAGGGAGGTTGGAACTAATGACCTTTAAGGTTCCTTCCAACCCAAACCATTCTATGATAGATCACCACCTTTGTGAGAAAGGGAATTCTTCCTATCATTCCTTTCAAGCTGAGGCAGCCCAAGGCATACAAACATTGGGAACCAGGAGCACTAATTCCCTCCTCCCACTTGCAGCCAAAGCTCAGTTCCACAGCATTGGTGCAAAGCAGACTCCGAGTCTGTGTGAGATGTCACTGCACCACCCACGGGCCCTGTTGGAGCAATCTGCTCCCTCGTGCTGGCACAGCTATTAATTAGGGCTCTGCAAGCTGCTTTGGGCCTGAGCTTGCACTTCCAGGGGACAAATCCCTGGTTATTTGTGTGGCTGAGGGAATTTTCCCCTATTTTGGTGGATGTTTAATGTGAGAAGTATTTGCTGAGTGCTATTTCATCCTTTTGTGAAGGGACTGGAGCACAAGTGCCATGAGGAGAGGCTGAGGGAGCTGGGGGTGTTCAGCCTGGAGAAGAGGAGGCTCAGGGGAGACCTCCTCACCCTCTGCAACTCCCTGACAGGAGGTTGGAGTCAGGTGGGGGTTGGTCTCTTCTCCCAGGCAACCAGCAGCAGGACAAGAGGGCACAGACTCAAGCTCTGCCAGGGGAGGGTTAGGTTGGATATGAGGAAGAGAATTTTTCTGGAGAGAGTGCTCAGACATTGGAATGTGCTGCCCAGGGAGGTGGTGGATTCCCCATCCCTGGAGGTTTTCAAGCTGAGACTGGATGTGGCACTTAGTGCCATGGTCTAGTGACCACGGTAGGGTTGGACTTGGTGATCCTGGAGGTCTTTTCTACCCTGGTTGATTCTATAATTCTATGATTCTCCTCCTCAGGACACAGTATCTCTAGGTTGGGCAGTGGGAGCTGCCAACTGGATCCCAATCTACAGCTCAGAGCTGCCATGAGCAATAACTTCTCCACCTCCTCCACCACAAGGTCTTCCAGATGCTGAATTGGAGCTGTGAATGCTCAACCCGATCACACCCCAGACCAGATCCCTCAGTGGAAGGCAAACCAAACATCTGGAGTTGGAGGGAGACTCTGTGTCAGGAACTGCAGTGACAGGACAAGGGGTAATGGGTTCAAACTGAAGGAAGGAAAGTCTAGGTTGGATGTGAGAAGAAAGTTTGTTACTCTAAGGGTGGTGAGACACTGGCACAGGTTGCCCAGGGACGTGGTGGTTGCCCCAACCCTGGTGGTGTTCAATCCAGGCTGGATGAGCCTTGAGCAACCTGATCTAGTGAGGAGATGTCCCTGCCCAGGGCAGGGGTTGGGGCTGGATGATCTGTAAAGTCCATTCCAACCCCTAAATTCTATGATTCACACCCAGAAAACCTCTAAAAACAAGGCCTAAAACTGTTGGAATTACTAATTCCAATTAAACTAAAGAGTTAAATCCAGAGAAAATAAGGAGATCAGATTTGGGGCAAAACCTAGATGACAACATTGTTTCTACTCCAGAAAAATGGGAAAACCAAAGCCAACCTTCTAGTTAAAAGCTTTATTTGGGAATAAAGTTTGTCTTCAAAATATATCCCATTAGAGACTGTGTGAGCTGTACCAATCTGGCACAACTCACTCTGACTTCCCTCCTTGAGCATTTTGCTGCTTTTGTGCCATGAGCTGCAGCAAAAGTGGCCCCAGTGGGTAGGAGAAAGTCTGATTTGGGGTCTGAGTGCCCCAGAGGATCCACATTTATCTGCAAAGGCTATAAAAACGCAGCAGATGAGAAGGAAAACATGAAGTAGACAGTTCCTGCCCTTGGCAGGAATCACCAGCAGCAACAGCTGAACCAGCCAGGGGGAGAAATATGCACCAAAGCAGAATAAAGAGCTGAGAAACAAGAGAGAATTAAGAAAAAAAAAAGGGGGGAAAAAAAGCCCCATCAACAACCTCTTGTTTGGAGGGGGAAGGGAAAATTTCCCTCATCCCAAACTTTGGATTTTCTCCTTATTTTTACACAGGTTTTCTCCAGTTTGGGGCCAAACTTGCAGCTGGTGCCTGTGGCACTGGGGGGAACTTTTCTGTAGGATAATCTTCAATCCTGATGGCACAGAAGGAGTAGAAAACTCTGACTGGCCTCGTGTCCAAGCCCTTTGTTGAGATCAGGTCCTGGAATCATGATATCCATCCAAACCCACACCAGGGGCTCAGCACAGACATGGTCAAACCAAATCAAACCCAGAAAAAATTCCACTGGCTGCAAATGATGCTGTTAACAAGGAGATTTTCAGGTTTTCCGTGGTGTCCAGGCATTCCTTTTTGAGCCGAAATGCCCAAGGATGAGCTTGGAGTCGTTCCAGGATTTACTGCTTTGTCCCCATCCTCTTCCAGCAATCCCACTCTGCTCCCACTGTGGCCACTCACAAAGCAGGGATGGATTCTGAAGGATTCTAAGTTTGTTTTCTTTCCCCTCACTTTTGTCTCCTTTAGGGGAAAGGCCATCATGAGTAATTGAGCAAACTAATTAGATGCCAAAAAAGTGCATCAAAGCTGACAAAAACCCTGAAGGTGAATCCTCTGCAGGGTTTTGTCCTTAAAATAGCTCAGGTTCCCCTTGCTCCGGAGCAGGGGGTGGAAGGTGTTGCTTTGAAAGGAGAGTTGGAGCCATGGGGGTGGAAAACCAACAGCAGGATGAGAAGACACAGCTCGAGGCCTTGAGAAGACAGAATTAAAGTCAAGTAAAGAAGGTGAAGCGGAGAGCAGAGAGAGGGACAGAGCTAGGGTGAGGGGATGAGCCACCCTGAGCCCTTCTGGGCCACCACAGCATCTGTCCCCACTGCCCAGAGGGGAGAGGCACCAGCAAAATGTTCCTGAGCACAGGAGGAGCCACTGTGCCCCCAAAGCTTCTCTCTGCTCCCCAGGAACCTCTGCTCCAGCCAACCCCTGTGCTGCCCACATGGAGATTTGCTCCCCATTTCTGCCCCTGCTCAGGCTCTGCTGGAGGAGGGAAGAGCTCAGCCACAGCAGGGAAAACCCAACCAGGACACCGAAACCCCTCACCAAGCTAAGAAATTGGCTGCACTTTTCTCCCACCACATCCAGCTGCAGGCAGAGCCCAACATCACCCCAACCCCTGCCCACGAGGACCCACACACATCCAACCTCTCCTCCCCTGCCTCAATCCTTTCCAAATCTCCCTTTTGGGTCTTTTTTTTGGTTTTCCTCTCCTCACTGTTTCTTTTCCAAGAGGGAAGAGACTTTGCAGTAGGATAACAGAAGACTCCAAGGCTTGAGACACAGGTTGGAGAGTAGGAGCTCAGGGCTCAGCACTGCTCTGCCTCCACAAAGCCTTCCTTCTCCTGGCTGGCTGCTTCCACCTCCGAGTAGGAGCCGTGGTTGGTGTGATTCCGGAATTTCATGGCAGGCCAGTGGTGAGGCCTTCTCTGGGGACACAAACAGAGGCAACATGAGTAGTTGTGACAGAGCTTTCCACCCCAATCCCCAGGGAAAATGGGTCCTGAAAGACAATGTTGGACTTGCAATGAATAAAAATCAACTTACAAGATCATTTCGTGCTTAAAAAAAAAGGGTTTTTTGATGCATTGAGCTCACTGAGATGGGTCACTACAATGGGAATTGTCAGGTTGCCCCAGGGAGGATTGGATGCCTCAATCCTAGAAATGTTCATACTAGGTTGGGTGAAGCCTCGATCAACCTGCTCTGGTGGGAGGTGTCCCTGCCCAGGGCAGGGGGTTGGGGCTGGATGATCTCTAATCTCCATTCCAACCCCTTACCATCCTATGAAACTATGAATTTGGGGAGGAAATTGTAATTTTAAGTGAAATCTCACATCAGCCTGACAACAAGGATGGTCTGTGCCTGGGACAGCAGCTGAGGATGCCCATGGATATCCCCTGGGAGAGTCAGCTCTGTGTCTCCTTTCTGCCTCAAAACAGGGACAAGCACTGTCCCTTCCCTTCCCAGCTGGGAGTGGATGGATCCATCACACATCCCCAGGGCTCAGGTTGTGGATGGGATCAATTCTCTGCAGCTTTTCTCTGCACACAGGACAGATAGAGAAAAAGTGCTCCAGGAAAAAGCCAGGGAGTGCTCAGGAAAGGCTGAGGGCTAAGTGTGGCTCATCCCTCCACAGCAGCTCCTGTGCCAGGATCCAGCCCC